TGGTGCTGTCCCCCGCAGGGCCATGGGTCAGTGAGGGGCATCATGTCTCATAGTGGGGCTGGCCATGTGGTCCTTTCTGTGGACTGGCTGCTCTAATTGGAGTGGAGTCATGGGCCTCCAAGCCTGGTGGGCCAGGATGTGCTCCAGTCTCTCCTCCTCCCCCGTAATCTCCTGTGTGCTCAGATCAGATAGGTCCCTCTCCCGGAGCTGCGGATTCAGTGCAATCCTTTGAAATAAATTCTTCTGGGGGGAGGGGCAAAGCCTTTAATTTTGTTCACCAAATTTAAATGACTGCTCTACATCACATACTGATCCCTGGGCTTGTGAAGAGACGCGAAGGCATGGGAAGAGAATATGGTCTAGTTTGATAATCATACTAGTTTGGAATTGCTGGAGGGTTCAGGAACGTGATCTGTAAAACCAAAATTTGAAGACCAGGGAGTGAACATTTTTGTGTTTGATAGGAGGACTTGGACTTGATCCCGTAGACTAGGGATCAACACAGTTCAGCCTGCTGGTTGTACATGCATGGCCTGCAAAGTGAGACTGGCTTTTTATATTTATAAGTGGTTGGAAAAGAAACAAGAATGACAAGTCATTTGGAAATGAAATTCACTTTCCAGTGTTCATAAATAAAGATTTATTGGAATAGAACCCAGATTTAAAAGGAGTGTCTGGTCATTTTTATGCTACATGGCAGAGTTGAATAGTTGCTTCAGAGACAGTAAGACCTGCCAAGGTCAAAATACTTACTGTTTTGCTTGTTAAAACTGTTGCCATCCTCTGTTGTAAACATTAGAAACTAGCCATTAAATAATTTAATCATGGATGAACACAACCATATTTGCATCTTAGTACCTTGCATTGGCAAATCTATAGAATATTGACTGGAAGATGAGCAAGACGAGACAAAGGGACTGGGAAGAGGACAGTAGTGTTTCCTCAACTGTATGTCAACAGGTGCACTGTGGAAATGTTTCATGTCTCAATTTTAGTTTGGGAAGTACTGTTAAAGAAAGGCCACACCCCCAAAAATGATTTAAAAGAAAAAAAAGATCACAAAGGTTTTTTTTTTACTACTGAACTTACCTAAATAGTCATTATGAAGAAGTTTATTGTGAATGTATGAGAGAAGAGAATATGTGTATATGTTGTTGGTTTCAAATAGTAAACCCACAGCTAAACAAACTGCCATTGAGTCGGTTCCATTTCACTGCCACTCTGTAGTGCAGAGTAGAACTCCTGCCCCCTCCGGGTTACCAAGACTGGACAGTTTTATGGGAGTTGGAAAGCCTCATCTTTGTCCGGAGGAGTGCTTGGTGGTTTTAACCTGCTGAACTTGTTACTACTGGTGGGTTAGTAACACCGCCAATGTTCTTTGGCTTTGAAGCATATGCTTCTGTTAATTTTAATTTTAAAAACATGTATCTAGCCCTGTCTTGTGGGTGCTGGGTCAACCTGTATCACACATTTATGATAGCAGACATTTCATGACATGTGTTGTGGAATATATGGACCAAACAGTAGATGGGATTTCATCAGAGTAAATTTAGTTTTCTTTAGTGTTGGAGTTTTAATGCATAAGTAAATGAATGATGAATAAAAAAAGAAAGCTGATGACACAGGGGCAGAGGGAAGAGATCATTCAAAATAGAAAAGCCTATAGAAGTCTGGGATTTGAATAAATGAATTTAATTGAAAGTCAAGATTTTCTTCCTTATCCTATTTGCACTGCACAGCCTCCTTTAGGCTTTCAGACAATTCCCTTCTAGCCTAAGATTAGCTAGCTGGGAGTCATTTATACCTGTCTAGTTCTGGTACTATAGCTCTTCTTGTATACTATAGCCTTTCCTAAGGTTTTAATATCTGTAAGCATTGTTTAAAATGATTTTAAATTAAACACAGATAAAAGCATTAAAGAAATTTCTTATTAACACAGGGAGTTAATTAAAGTACACTCAATGGAAAAATATCCATGATTTACAGAAATCAATTTCAGATCAGGCCTCTTAACCAGTTTTCATAGTAATACCAGGTTATTTATGTTTATCAAGCTATTTTTGGTTATGGGGACAAAAAATGGATACCCTGAAAACCAGTATAAACTGTTGAGTTAGACTAACAAAATGACTGGATGTGTTTTAGGATATGTTCTGTTAACGTTGATTTACTTTCATTTGAACAGATGATGAATAAAGTGTTTGGAGGAACAGTGCATAAAAAAAGCGTTCGAGAAGACGGAGTCTTCAACATCAGTGTGGATAACACGTGTTCATTATTCAGGTAGCACAGCCTTTAAAAGAAGCATCAATGGCACTGTATTGACTAAAAGTTGGTGCTGTTAGTCTTTAAAATTGGGATTCTGTAATCATGAGACAAAGTTGAGGCCACAGTAGTGACCACAAGTGTAATGGTCATGCTTGTCTCCAGTTGATGTCAAACCTTCTGAGGAGGAGTGATGCTGGTTAGGAGTAAAAAAAGCATGAGGAAGTAACTCAGAGGCACTTGTGCAGTCTTAGAATCCTATGTGATTGCAAAAGCAATGCCTGCATTTGTAATTTTCCTTTTTGCTCTTTGGTGGAGTGTGATGTTATACATTCGTGTAACAGATCAGCCAAGTGGGTTCTGTTTTAAACTGTCCTGTGTCCATTCTGTGCATGTGCGTTCTTCTTCCTCTCTACGAGGCTTTTTGCAGAGAACCTAGAAAGCCACTCCTTTGCTGGACTAAGTGCTGTGTTCTCCACCTCAGTTTCTCTAGTGAGGCAGACCATCCTTCAGC